GGTGCACTGACGACTCCCTTCCCCGCCCCACACGCCGCGGAACTGTGCGCGGGCAAAGAATTCGCATGTGAGACCCCGCCCCCTCCGGTCTGCGATCAGTTCCTTGGGTTTGAACTGTTTTTTGTAATGGCAGCAGCTCATTCGAATCTTTCTGGGGATTTGCATGCTCAAGCCCATCTTCACCTCCTCTCACATGCCATCTAATCTTCGAGCAAATTCATCTACTTTCTACGAAGACTGCCTCCATCCTTCTGCTTGCTTCAGTACTTCTAGTCGTCATTAGGTGGTCTACGGATCAGGCTGTATTTTTTATTATTTCTGGTGTTCGTCGCACTGCCATGATTGAAGATGAATAGATCAAAAGTTTTCTCGAAAAAAAAAACTATGAGTAAGAGTGCCAACGCGGCGGACAACATTACTACCGGCGTGAGAAAGTACTCATTAAATAAAAGGAAACAATCCAACTCAAAAAAAGGAAACAGTCCAACTCAAAAAAGGAAACAATAGAACGAAGCCACACATATGTTCATACAAAAAACATTTTGCATATCCCCTTTGTTTTCATTTACTTCACATATTAGCTTTGTCATAAGTCAAATTTTACAAAGTTGGTTAAGTTTATAGAAAATAATTTGAATATTTATAATAATAAACAGCAGAATATATGATGTGATAATATATTCAGTAACAGATCTGATTGTATTGATTTGATATTGTAGGTGTTAAATTTTTTTCTCTAAACACGATCAAAGTTTAGAAAGTTTGACTTAAGACAAATCTAATATACAAAGTACATAAAAATAGAGGGAGTATGGCACACATTTTTTATTGATGTTATCGCGATCTACCTCCAAAATGTAAAGGCACACCCAGATCGAGTGTGTGATTTCGGGAACAAAGAGTATTTTTTAATTTTTAGAAAAATCTAATAAGAACATTCAAGTTCCTTTTCTGCTTGTAAAAAATTATGGGAAAAATATGTTGTTTGCTTGCGTCAAAACAACATATTACTGTTATATTTGCTACTTTAGTGTCACAATTTATCTTTTATCCTGGTCTTAAATATTCTTTTTATGTTACAAGCACACGATGAACATGAAAGGCTACATGTGTTTTTTCTTTGAAGTATTTAAATTTATTAACAAATGTACTATTTACCCCATAACCAAATGGACCAATAGCCATTTCTCTCAGTCCTCTATCATCTTTACTCTTTTGTGAAGCTCCAAAGGTTACAAATGAGAGTTTTGTTTGGAATATAAGAGGTTTTGGTGGGGATGTAAAACCGAGATACTCAAGGGCGTGAAAAAGTAGTTTTTCTATGATCACAGGAAACTATGAGGCAGAACTTTACTAGAACCGACCAGCAATTTTGCCATCATACCACATCTAGGGGTAAATCCATGCGGGAGAGGGATATTATTAGGTGTTGGGTTAACTATACAATCCTTGATGTGATATTTCAAGAAGATGGGGGTTACTACATCAAGATGGAGATCTGGAGTTGGTTTATGGAGAGGTCCAGAGTTTTACAATAGAGTGTTAATCCTATTTCGATAGGGAAGATATACATAATTAGGAAGAGAAAAATAAGCTAGGCACCCCTGAGTCTGGGAGTTTTATTTTCAATGATATCTTGGAACAAGTAGGGTTGGGAGAAATTACTATGAATGGTAGACATAATACTTTAGGGAACAATTTGCAAAATCCTACTTTTGAAAACTAGATAGGATCTTGTGTTGCACTGACTGGGAGGAGAATTATCCCCTAGCAACAGTTATTGTTTAGATTAGAGAGAATTTTGATCATACCCAATTGTTTCTAGACACTGGGGTGATGTTCCAAAAATGATCTAATTTTTAGGCTTGAAAATTCATGGTTCCTGAGAGAAGGTATCCAGAAAATTGTCTATTATACTGGCTGGAGCCAACTATATGTAGGGATCCAATACAGATAAATGGCAAATATAACTAAGAAGGTTCATGGAAAAATTAAAAAGGATGTAATCAAAATATGAATGTTTGATATAGACATTAGACAAAAAAGATATCCTAGTTAAATTAGACAACATTTGTAAACACTGTGATGTGTATGGGGTGACTAATGATACAATACAAGGGTAGAAATATCTGAGAACACAATTAGACAGACTTATGAAACAAGAAGAATTGAAATGGAAACAAGGACTAAAATTAAAGAAATCCTTGAAGGAGACAATAATACTAGTTTTTCATGCTAAAGCCAATGGAAGGTGCATGAAAAATAGGATCACTTATCTACATCAAGAAGACTGTCACACCCCTAGAGAAGCTGATTACTTATATTAACTTTTTTATAAGAATCTCTTTGGACACCGTGAGGTTTCTAGTATATCTTTAGATATATAGAATAGAGGGTCCTAAAACAACCCCTAGAGAAGTTGCAGACAAATTAACTGCATAGTTCTCTTTGGAAGGGGTTAAATCTTCGGGTGTTCAGTATAGCTCACAATAAATCTCCTGGGCTCATGGTCTTACTGAAAAATTATATCGACACTTTTGGGATTTGGTTAAGTTTGATTTAAAAGCCTTGTTTGGTGATTTCCATGCGGGCAAACCCGATATTTCTAGAATTGATTACGGGATTATTACCTTGGTTCCTAAGACCAAGGATGCTGATAAATACAAAAGTATATATCTATTTGCCTGCTTAATGTTAGTTTCAAACTTTTTACTAAAGTACACATGAAAATATTAAATGGGGTAGGTCACGAGGTTATTTCACCCATCCAGACTGCTTTTATAAAATGCAGATTCATTATGGAGTTGTTTTTACTTTACATGAAGCTTTAAATAGCATACATACAAAAAAACTGAGTGCTTTGATTTTCAAAGTTATTTTTTAAAAGGCCCTATGACAAGGTCAAGTGGCCTTGTGATGCACATGCTAAAAAAAGGTGTCCCTGATAAATTGATATATTAGATTATGTATAATATATGGGGGGGGGGATGCAGGAATTAAATTTAATGATAATATAGGAGCTTACTATCCCACACATAAGGGTAAGGAGAATCTCTATCTTCTTTGTTCTTTGACTTGGTTGCAGATGATTTGGCCATGCTTGTGGACAAAGCTAAAAGAAGTGGTTTAGTTAAAGGAGTGCTTGAAGAAAACATTGGTGATGGTGTTAATATGTTGTAGTACACAAATGTTACTATCTTTCTCCTACATGATAACTATGATAGTGCTCATGATTTGAAATTCATACTACGCATGTTTGAACAGATGTTTGGGTTAAAATCATTTTCACAAGAGTGAGGTTTCCCTCTTTGGCGATGCTAATAATAAGGCAGATACTTGTGTTACTATTTTTACTTGCCCTATAAGATCTCTCCCCATGAGATACATAGGCTTACATGTTGACGAGAAAAGAATCTCTAACTACTTACTACTTAAAAACAATGTAAGGTTCCATCTCACGTATTTTTTCTCCCCATCACCTCTTCATCCATCCTCCCACGTACGACCTTACGGCCTTACCCTTCCTTACTACTTTCTTGATGTTACATGCTTCCGTGGGGGAATGGATTGGTAAAAGAGAACATCAAGTACCATTTTAATTTAGGTAGTATGGTTTGTTTCCATCAAAAAGAGAAATTGTTAGTACTCGAACTTCAAGAAGATGAGGGCATTTTACATGATTTTTTCAGTATCTCACCGTGAAAGCGACCTCATCAGTTGTATCATCCCCATTGTGGATCGCAAGAACATGAGATATTTCCATATTGGGATGCTAAAGCAGATCTCGGAGTAGATGATCAACTGCGTCCCCTTTGGACGAAGCTCCCAAACTTGCAGAATTACAACATACATCACACAGTAATATGCATGCAGGGGGGCAGTTGCCCCCCCCCCCCCACGGTCACTTCACCATGTTGTATTTATCCAATAGTTGTTTATGGTTGAGTAGATGTATCTTATTATCATCATTTGCATCATGTAATAAAATATACATGGTATGTTAAGGCATTATTTGCTAATTAAAATTATGTTTTCAATGTTTATACCTTTATAATGATTTTAAATGACATGTGATATATACCGATGAAAATATTTATTTTACTATGTTATAGTTGTTAGGTTAATTGTACCTCATTCTTACTAGGGCCTCCATAATACTAGGGTCGCCCCTGATAAATAGCTATAACCCATCACCTATTTTTTCTAGATATACCACCATGCTATATCAGCAAGCCATGTATTTTTGTATATCCATATAGCATTGTCATGTCACATTATTGTTTTTGCGTGCTCTCATGGACACGGTGTACGTGCTGGGCGCTTGGAGCATACCTATATAGTCCATCTTTCACTGTTTTTAATATGTATAAATGATACTCTTTTAGCTGCAATTTTATTTTCTCTCTTTTATACATGATTTTGTTATATGTTTCATATTTTTTTAAAATGTTCATATAGTGCATATCAAAAAATAATTTTACATTTTATTTCCACATTAGATATAATTGCTTATGTAGCACCTAATAATGCATTTATTTTAAGAAGATGACCACAGCGACTTGCGAGGTCCTCGGTGATCTAAAACGTCTTATATTACTTTACAGAGGAGTAAGTCTCATTTGGCCGTTTCAGGTTTTTGTCATTTGCTCGGGGAAAATCCAAATTAGATGAGCATTTGTGTAAAACCACTCCACCAGAGGGGCTGAAAGGCGATTAAGGCAGCCATTTATGCTTACGCACACGCGACCCTGGTGATCCTATGCGGCCTCGTGTTCTCCCCTCCTCTCTCTTTCCTCTGACTTCGTCGCCTCCTTCCTTCTCCAGTCCTCGCCTCCTCCTCGTCCTCTCCTCCCCCGCACTGACCCGACCCGACCTGACTCGCTCGCTTCGCTTGCAAGTTCCAATGGCGACGCAACTGCTTACCTCACCGCGCGCGCCACGCGCCTGAGCACCAACCGTCCGTCATCGCCCCCGCCCCGCGCGCCCTGGACGAAAATAACATGGCCGCGCCGGGCCTGGACGAGGTCATGGCCTTCCTCACCGACCACGGCTTCGCCAGCACCGCCTCCGCCCTCCTGGACGACGTGCTGGGCCGCGCCGCGGACGGGGAGCCCGGGCCCGCCGCCGCATTAGATCCCCAGCTCCCGCGCCTCCGTATGTCGGTCTCCGCCTCCGGCGCCGGCGCCGGCCTGCCGCCGCCTGCGAGCCCCGGCTCCAGCTCCGGCTCGGCGTCCTCCTCCGCCTTCGTCAGCATGCGCTCATCGCCCTCAGGTAGTCACGGCGTAAGTCCTTTTTCCGTTTCCGTTAAACCCCCCTCCTCCTGGCCCCTCTCTGTTTCCGACGCTGGCGGTTGCACTTTGCCCCGCGAAATCTCGATCTCTGCGCTGATATTTTGGTGGCTTTGAGAACAATTCGAAGCCTCTGGTTCAACCCAGACATCTTTCTTCTTGGACGATTTTCTCGTACTATAAAGAATTGAAATTGATCCGGGGGACTGGTTAAACCCCTCCCTCTGTTCGGTTCATCACCAATGCCTGTCACAAAATTCTACCGTCTCCCCGCCTAGTTGTGTGCTTGCTTCTCCGAATTTTAAGGTGTTCTCTCATAATTCTCACCCAGAATTTCATTCTTTTTCTTTCGGGGATCAGGCCTGCTGAATCCATATGGTGTGTGGTCGTCGCAGCACTCGCTGTCGGACGCGTCGTCATCTGAGATGGAGTTCGGCACAGCACGCCAGTACGACACCACCGACCTCTTCTTCCAGGAAGGCTGGCTCTACGACGACCACATCTTCCATACAAAGCCGAAGTCTGACGATGGTGGCAGAGACAAAGAAGAGGACAAGTTTGTTCTTGGCGCTCACGGCGGCTTAGGACCGGCAGAAACGTTCGTGCTTGGCCCTGGCGACTACTGCCGCCATGAACACGCCGGGAATGACGGCTGTGAGGGGTGCGCTGAGGTTTACACCTGCTCGTCACCGCTCTGCGGTTGCTGTGCCGGGGGACTCAAGAATTTTGAGGAGCTCAAGCTGGTCCGAAATTCTAGCTCTGCTGTGTATGGGAGGTATAAGATCATGGATGACCAGACGGAGATACTAGATGAGTGTGGCCCGGATGTGTTTCAGATGAAGCAGAGTGGGGATGCTGTGCTTGAGTGCGATTTGCCAACAAATTCTGGGCAAGTAGACGAACGTATGGAGCTGAATGTTGTGGAGAAGGAGCTTCAAATGCTCAGTTCATTTGATACTTACGATGATGCTGAAATTGCTGCAAGTAAGTATTAGTAGTCCATTTGTTTGCAACTCTATGGTACTAGTATAATGTAAAATTTCTTTGCTTCAATCACTTGTGCTAGTGAAGATAATTTGAAATTGTTTAGTGGATCTAATGTAGTGGGTGAGGGGAATAGATTACAACATTTAAAAGGCTGGGTATGCTCAGATTTCCAGGTTGGTAAAGACCTGAATCTCTGCTGCCATTTTGCAAATATACAAGGAGGGTAAATGCTATACTATCAAGTGACAGCCATTCTCAGTAGCATTTTCAGAGCTGCAAATAATCAAGGAGCAAATTTTGTTGCTGTCCAATGCTTATAAGAAGCAACGTATGGGTCATGCACTGCCCGTTATCCACTTTACTGTCTGATAAAGGTTTTGGTTTGTTTGCTTGCTGTTTGTTTCAGTTCTAATTTCAAACGCTTAACGTCTTGCATAGGTCCAGTACGGGTACGCCATGCCACCGACAATGTAGAGTTGGATGATGATGCTGAAAACAATCTAAAAAGCAGCAGTGAAAAAGAATATTTGAAAGAGAGTTATAGCTTGCATCCTTTCCCTGAGACTGATGATTATGATGACACCTACGAGTTTGGAGATGTTGGGCCATTGAATACAGATGTTCAGAAATCTGCTACACTTATAGCTGAGAAAGAAGATCCAGAGTTAAATATTGATCAGGCCGTCTCTAATTTCCATCAAGAATACGAGGTATTTGAATTGAGAATTGTCCACCGCAAGAACAGGTTCACATCAAATCTTTTTTCTTTCTTTCTTTGGTTGTTGTTAAAGAAGTAATACATATGCTCATATAGTATGCATCCATTGCAGAACTGGCTTTGAAGCAAACAAAGATTTTCCCATTGTCTTGAATTCAGTCATAGCAGGAAGATATTATGTTACTGAATATCTTGGCTCGGCTGCATTCAGCAAGGTTGTCCAAGCACATGATCTTCAGACAGGAATAGATATTTGCCTAAAAATAATAAAAAATGATAAGGATTTCTTCGATCAGAGTTTGGATGAGATAAAACTGCTGAAGTTTGTGAATAAATATGATCCATCAGATGAGCATCATGTACTGCGGCTCTATGACTACTTCTATCATCAGGTATACTCACTTGAGGGAGGAGCAGTTGGCTAAGATACCCCTTTTCTGTTAATTCCATACTGCAAACTACTTGATTGTTTGAAATATAAGAAGATATTTAAGGGACTTGGTCCTTGTGAATATCTCAAAGGATGTACTGTAGCAACATGCTTCATTTGCTTGTAGGCATGCTTTTGATTGTCGATCCTAGTAAACATTTTTCCTTTCGCATTCTACCTTGCATAATGCTGATTGCTGATAGTAAACAAATATTGGCAGGAACATCTTTTCATTGTCACTGAATTACTGCGAGCAAATCTGTATGAGTTTCAGAAATATAACCAGGATTCTGGTGGTGACTTGTACTTTACATTTCCTAGGATACAGGTATGTTGAATTGCCATTTACTAGATATTCTGTATTACTGTGTTAATATCTGAGAATCCCTTAGTGCAATAATTATGCATGCACATAGCTATTTACATGTCACTTGTACCAGTGGCGGTGGCAGGATCCGAAGTCTGTGATGTCGTTTCAAATCTGTGATTTCAAATACATGTGTTTTCACCAATTTTATATAAAAAATTACATGATTTCTACTTGTGTACAAAGGATTTGCCAAAAACCTGTGTAGTCAATTGACCACACTCCTCTCAACGTGGCTTCGCCACTGACTTGTACGGCCCACCTTATTTGTTGGCATATTGTGTTTAAAACTTAAACTTAAAATATGTATAGTTGCTGGACCCTAACTTATTTGTTTTCGTAAAATGATACAGTTGTTTATACGATTAACAGATTGAGCACAGTTATAATTCACTCATGAAAGTTAGAAGTTCTGGTGAAACAAAATTGTCCCTTTCTTTCAGGCAATTGCTCGCCAATGCTTAGAAGCTTTGTTATATTTGCACCATTTAAGGATCATTCATTGTGACCTAAAGCCAGAGAATATCCTTATCAAGAGCTACAGCAGGTGTGAAATTAAGGTCATCGATCTTGGAAGTAGTTGCTTCTTGACAGACAGCTTATGCCTGTATGTCCAGTCACGTTCTTATCGAGCTCCCGAGGTCATTCTGGGACTGCCATATGATCAGAGGATTGACATTTGGTCTCTTGGTTGCATCCTTGCTGAACTGTACACTGGTGAAGTAAGTAGTTCTTTTGCTGAGTTGATAATTTGAATTTTGTACTTAGATTAAGATCTTAGCTATGATAAGCACATAATGGCCGATGGTTGGTCATATCAGTAGATTGGTCTTATGGAGATTGCAATACATGGACTTCATAGTATGTTAGCGTGTTCATATTCTTTATCGTTCAAATATATGTTAATCTGTGGCTCTTCAAAACTAGAGTGAGTAAAATAGAGCTTGAAAATCCATGGAAATATATAGCTCCAACCAGAGATGTATATGGTAGGTGTTTTTGTTTCTGTCTTGGAGGACGTGGATAGTCTTTTGTCTTCTATAACCTCAACTCACACTAACAAAAAGCACAATGGTGTGCTTCTAGTTGTTTTTACCATTTAAAAGTAGCAAACCATCTGCTCATAAAACTCATAATGTTGACTCTTACACATGACAGGTACTATTTCCTAATGAACCAGTGTCCATGATGCTTGCCCGAATGATCGGGATGATTGGTCCAATAGACATGGAAATGTTAGAGTTGGGACAGGAGACACATAAATATTTCACCGATGATTATGGCCTTTTCACCAAGAATGAGGTACACTTCATTTCCGGTTTGCTGTTTCAAGCCCCTATCAGTCATATGCATTAAGAGTATTCGATAACCACTCCGATCTTAATAACGTAGATAGTAAACACTAAAAAAGCTTGGACTTACCTTCCTTATCTGTATCCAGGAGACGGGTCAATTAGAGCATTTGCTCCCAGAGAAGTCCTCTTTGCGACATCACTTGCGATGCCCTGATCCGCAGTTTGTGGATTTTCTATCTTATCTGCTGCAAATAAACCCCAGGAAGAGACCAACAGCCAGCGAAGCGTTAGAGCATCCGTGGCTTTCATCCGAGTACTAATCTGGTGCCAGCCACTCCTTTCTTCTGCTTCAGGGGTGATTTGCTCACGTTATAAGGATGAGGTTTCGGTACTCCTTTTGTGAAGCCTTCTTTTGAAAACTCGTAAAAAAAAGAGTGGTTTTCTGAGAGTTCCATGTGGCATGAAACGTTCTGTTTCCTTGAGGCGTAGAGGGTCTTGCCCTTTTGGCTGCAGTATTTGCTGAACTAGCCTGTGGCGCGGTTTCTTTGTTGGTGTCTTTCAGTTCAGGGCAATTCTCGGGGTGGAAGCCCTGCTGATTCATGCGTGTATGTAAATATGAGAAAAATTTCCATGTGTGTCTGTACAGCTGAAACTTACACTTGTAACCTATGTGATTCATCAGTACACATTTAAGATACAAAAATAATTGTCCAGTGTTTGATAAGGACATCTTCAATGCCGTGCATCAAATCGGAAACACCAAACATTGGCAGACAGTGGTAGTGGAGCCGCCCATCAACATGGTGAACCAAATGTCCGCTCCAGGTCTGGCCTCCTCCACCTACATAGATCAATAGCAATTTAGCAAATGTATAACTAGATACAAACATATGCAACCACAACTAAAAAGCATGGGATCAACAAGTTTTTACATCCAACTGATCCAAAAAGAGCTGAAGATGCAAAAAGATGTCAAGTTTTGCCTCCCAGTTCAGCTGTCCGTGTCAAATTCTTCACTCTTCGGCCGGCTCCTCCAAAGCATCCGCGTAGCGCTCCAACAGGCAAGCATGATATGCTTGCACAATCTTGGCCACATGGGAGCAAAGTACGACATCTTCATGGTCAACATCTTGGCATCAATCTTCTTCTCTTGGAACTTGATCTTCTTAGTTTGCGCCTCCATGAACTTCTCAAACCTCTCGGTCTTCTTTTCCTCCTTTGCATCATTGCACTTGACACATGCCTCCTCCTTTGCCATGATGTCCTCGAACCTCTTCGTCATCTTGGCCGCCGCCCCTTTTCTCTTCTCCTTCTCCCCTCGTCCTCCTACTTTTTTGCCCCAGTTCCTACCCATCATTTGCTCGGAGCAAGGACTCCTTTGTTGGAACACTATTTATCTACATTAGGCATGCTGCGGTCTTGACAGAATTGGCAACACCATTAAGCCACTTGAGGTGCATATTCAACTACAACCAACAATGTATGAAAAGGAAGTGCTTCTTTTTTGTCCTAAAGAACAATGTGCATGTGCGACCGACCTAGGAAGAAAAGACATGATAAACAAGTTGCCTATCCGGCCAAATGACCAACATAAGGAGCATATCCGGCTAAATGACCAACACACAGAGCATATCCTGCCAAATGACCAACACACATAGAGCAACAAAAAACATACGAGCACTTGGAGTGTCGCACTACTTGGCCATTGGATTTGCAATTCTTTGTAAAAGCCGCAATACTTATTTGTGGCCTCTTGAATTGTGTACCATCAATTAGTGAGTGACTTTGAGCTGCACTCATGGATCACTTCGGTGCCATAGGGATCATAGTGCTTTTGCTCATGAAATCAAGCATACACACTTGTCCAAAATGTTCTACCCCTTTGCTCCGTGCCATGAATTGTATCAATGCTTGTGTCCCACCACACATCAACCAACAATTCATCGTCCTTCAAGTCGAAATTTTCTCCCCTCTTCTTCTTTGGACCCGCACCCAACGCCCAAATGTCATCTGGATCACCGCCCGACTGTTGGGTGTGCGTCAGTTGGGTCTACGTGGTGTCCGTGTTGGTATATGTAGTAGAAAAACAAAAAAAAATCGCACCTACGATCACCCAAGATCAATATGAAGATGCATAACGGGTTGGGATCATGATTGTTACCGTCACCGAGTTGCAACGGAAGAAGAACATGTCGGTGTAGATCATACTTGGAGTCCCTCAAACCGTCGATGAACGATCCCACGTACCCCCCACGAACAATCCCTCGAACTAAAGACCGAAAGTACAACTTCTCTACTTGGTTGCAACTTGCAAGCATGCAACCTTCACGATCCGGCGGCGCTTCGCCATCCAGAGCTAATCGTCATCGGACAATTAGAGAGAGGAGATTAGAACCACACAAGGCTTCTAATTATGAGGACAAGAGTATTAGCCTAGCTCTAATTAGTCAACTAGGACTAACTAGAACTTGAAGAACTAGAGGAGGCTCCAAAACTTGTATGTCCAAAAGAGCAAAATCCCCTAGTATATATAGGTTGGTGGGAGAGGGAGGGCTGACCAAGGGGGAAGGAGTCCCTTTTGGTGCGCCGGCCTAGGGGAGGAGGAGTCTGACTCCTCCCCCTTCCCCAATTTGGCCTACTTCCATAGGGAAGGAGGCACTTTCCCACTTGGGCCGTTTTGGCCCAAGTTGCCTTCCACCTCTTGGCTTTTTAAGGCTCGTTGATATTAAATTAAATATAAAACAGTTCTAAATATTTTAAGACCATTATATATATATATATATATAATTTAACATCCCTGGAAACATCTTCCACCTATATATATATATATTTATCGGTAATACCTGGTATTACCCGATATCCACCGAAACCCTTCTGGTGACCCCAAAACACTTTCGGATCCTCTCGGAACTATTCCGAATATTAATGAAACAATTCCACAAATATATTTTCATCACTCCCATGCTACTAACACTCAGAAGATCATGATTACCTTAAGCTTGTGACCCCGTAGGTTCGGTAACTCACAAACATGAATGAAACGCCTTCGCTCAATGATCGACACCGGAACCGTGGACGTGAAGGAAATATGCCCTAGAGGCAATAATAAAGTTGTTATTTTATATTTCCTTATTTCATGATAAATGTTTATTATTCATGCTAGAATTGTATTAACCGAAAACTTGGTACATGTGTGGATACATAGACAAAATACTGTGTCCCTAGTAAGCCTCTACTAGACTAGATCGTTGATGAAAGATGGTTAAGTTTCCTAACCATAGGCATGTGTTGTCATTTGATGAACGGGATCACATCATTAGGAGAATGATGTGATGGACAAGATCCATCCATTAGCTTAGCATAATGATCATTCAGTTTATTGCTATTGCTTTCTTCATGTCAAATACATATTCCTCCGACTATGAGATTATGCAACTCCCGGATACCGTAGGAATGCCTTCTGTGCTATCAGACGTCACAACGTAACTGGGTGATTATAAAGATGCTCTACAGGTATATCTAAAGGTGTTTGTTGGGTTGGCATAGATCGAGATTAGGATTTAACACTCCGAGTATCGGAGAGGTATCTCTAGGCCCTCTCGGTATAATGCACATCATAAGAAGCCTAGCAAGCAAAGTGACTAATGAGTTAGTTGCAGGATGATGTATTACGGAATGAGTAAAGAGACTTTTCGGTAACGAGATTGAACTAGGTATGAAGATACCGACGATCGAATCTCGGGCAAGTAACATACCAATGGACAAAGGGAATAACGTATGTTATCATAACGGTTCTGTAAGTGCATCTAGTGCCACCCCTAGTTGGTTTTGAAGTATTGACGACAAACGTGGTTGAGGGAGTAATGTGTTTGTGAGAATTGCAGGATAACATAGGTAGTAGTCCCTCATTGATTCGGGTTACCTACCAGAGATGACCCATAAAAATGTATGAAGACATTGAAGACAATGGTGGTTCGTGAAGACATTCACGTCGAAGATAATGACGATGAAGACATTCATTTGAAGACTATGGAGTGCGAAGGCATAGTTTCTTTCGTAGGTTCCTTTTCTTCTTTCTTGAGTCATAGGAACCACCATACTTTTAAGTGGGGTCCAAGTGAACAAAGTCAGATGACTGAAGTGATGCTCAACCAAAATCCTATGTCTTCGAGCGAAGACAATGAGAGCAAATCTTATCCAGAGTTGGATGAGTCAGTTTTGCTTGTAGCCCAAGCCAAGCTGTCGCGTGTGTTTGAAATCCGACTGTTGGACACGTGTCGGTTCCTTAGTGACCCAGGGTCATTTCGGACATATCAGGCCGGGTTGCCTCCTGGCTATAAATAGCCCACCCCCTACACCATAAATTGGTGGCTGCTCAGAGTAAGTGCATGACTTTTGTCATTTGAGAGCAATCCACCTCCGAAGCCTTTGAGAGAGAGATCCTTGCGAGGACAAAGCCCAAAACACCCAGAGCCAAAGAGTGTTAGGAATCACTGAAGTCTTTTTGTTCGCGTGACTTGAAGACTTGTTACACTTGAGGACTGTGCATCCTCCAGCCGGTTAGGCGTCATGTTCTGAGGATCCAAGAGTCACCGTGGATCGCCAGTGAACGTATTCTTTGAAGGTTTGGAAGTCTACCTTGAAGACTTACCAGAGTGATAGTGCGAGGACTGGGTGTCCTTACCTCTAGGGGAACAAGGTGAAGACACAGTCTTCTGAGTTTAATCTCAGCCTCCCTAACCAGATGTACAATTGTCACATCAACTGGAACTGGTCTACCAAATCCCTATCTTCACCAAGCAACTGGTTCTGTCCCCTGCCCTCTTAACTTTTCAGTTTGTCTTCGTGAAGTCATTGCTTGCTTGCTTGATCTATTTGACTTCACTATGTGAAGACTTGTAACTATTTGGCTTCATACGGTCTTCCATTCTGATCCTTTCTATCTAGCTGTTGTTAGTCTTCGAGCGTTCATTGTACTGATTGCTTGACTATTGCTTGTCTAGTGTAGTTTATCTTCCGTTGCATATCATATAGGTTCAGATTTATAGTTTGTCTTCAAAGACCTCGTGTTTTGAAGACTTTCATAAAAAATCGCCTATTCACCCCCCTCTAGTTGATAACTAGCACTTTCAATTGGTGTCAGAGCGTGGTGCTCCCTTGTTCTGCGTGATTCGGTTTAACCACCTAGAGTTTTAGCTATGTCGACTGTAGGGATAATCAAGGTCTCCGCTGCGTGCCCAGTCTTTAATGGCACTGATTACCCTACTGGAAGAATAAGATGCATGCATCTTAAAGCCATTGACATTGACCTCTGGTATGT